TTGTTTGTTATGTTTGACACGCCCTGGACTTTTAAACTAACAATGGGACATAACTACGGTGTTCCGTTTGGACAATTGTGACTTTTTATTTAGTATGTACCCGCCATGCACGATGGTGAAAACGCGATAGCACGATGGTGAAATCACGATGGTACGATGGTGAAAACGCGATGTAACATCGCGTTTTCACCATCGTATTATCGCGCCATCGCGATTTCACCATCGTGTCATTGTATTTTCATCATCGTACCATCGCGTTTTCACCATCGCGGTAACAGAGTAAATAAAAAATCACGACTGTCCAAACGGAACACCGTACATAACTCATCATTGATAGATCTAGACACATCCGTGCCATGGCAACTTCTATTAAAATGTAACACATCAGTATTGAGATAATTTTCCATTGCGAATATATAATTTAAAAACGCATGATTAGATTGTGATAGTGTCCGAACCCGTCACTTCATTATTTTCATAAGTATAAACCCATGTAAAGTGTAATTACATACTTATTTATTTAGACCATTGGACTGTGAATCCCGATCGGGCGACCCGGGTTCGATTACCGGACGGTGCAGGCCGCTTTCGTTGTGATTGACTATGAAATCCTTTCTATGGTCATTCGCACTGAACCTCTGTTCTGGCATGTACAGAAGTTTCAGTTCCTTGCGAAAGTGAAGGTATTTAGTACTGTTAAACTGCTCAATAGCCGTGACAGCAGGAACGATGCAGTGGCTGAACTGTGCCCTGGTCAATTCAATGTGGCTTAGTGCCGAGATCCGGAGTAAAAAACTACTAGCGTTCATGAAATATCTTATCTTCAGAAATCATAGGACACGATGTAATCATTTTGCATAATCATATCAAGTCCCACCCATTTATAAGAGTCGTGTGTAATTGCCTAGTGAAATATCTTCTTATTTTCCCAATTATGACAGGTTAGGAAATATGACGGGGAAAAATTGCAAAATTGGCTCTATTTGTAACTTATTCACCATGAACCACAATTGTTATCACCTGGTAATGACATCGAACACTCCAATACTAATTATTTTATTTCATTTATTATCATGGATACTCATTAAATTAACTTCGTATCTGCGTGTAACCAATCCTTTGATGCAAGGGTATGTAAAGATTTCTGGCCAATTAAATATTCATCTATCTATAATTCACTTTAACACAAAAGACATTTTCGTAAGTTTTTGATTTCGTGGATAGTCTATTTTTACAAAAAAAGTAAAATGCAATTCATGTAAATAAATGCAATAAAAAAACTTACAAAAATCCCTTACAGCAAACGAAATGCAATTTTGTTGGATCTTAAACTCTTGGAGTGGCGCATGTAGTATATTTATATGTCGAGACTTAAAAGACCTAGTATGTCTCAGAAATGATTTCATTTTTATTATTAATATAATTATGATTATAAATTGAACTTTTGCATCTTAAGTTTTGTAAGCAACTGGTTTAATTATTATAGTGAATTAGTATTTTGTATGAAAGTAAAAATACTACAATTTTAAATTGTGCTACCTTTACGACACATAAATGCATGATAAGCACTACTTATTCACTCATGCTTTTAATCCATTATTCAAAGGCTACTAAAAACATGTTTGACATGACTGTGTCAAGAATTCAACAACAAAAAATCCCTTGCTTAATGTTCCCTTAGGGTTTTCAACATTTTGTTGTGCTAACGATGAGGGGAAACGTGTATTTAACAACACCTGAGTGTTTCCAAACTTAAGTTATTAAAATATTAAGGCATGATTAATATCTTAAAATCAACAGACTTGTATTACTTTTCCTACAGTACAAGAAACAAAATATGAACATATATAAGGTGCTAAGATATGCATTTCCTTGGTACCAAATCCTCTTCTTTTAAGTTGTTGTTTTCCAAAGAGAGTGTTTTACACTTAGGTTCAGAATTTAATGATAATAACAACAAATTGCACGCTGATAAAGAAAATGGTCAAGAAAATTTAACCACAACTAAAGAATGTAGTCGTTTGAACCTATCCCCATTTCAAAGAGAAAAAAAAACAAACTAATCACAAATTTACATTAAAATATGTATTGGATTTCACAGTATCTAATTATCAAGTTCCCTTTATCCATTTGCATTTTGATATATACTCATTATTTGTATAATATGTTTGTAAACATGTATTTAATGCAATAAAATATGTTTAAACTAAACCCATTGCAAGACACAAAGTGCGTCATTTTATTCATAACAACAAATTAGTATATATACTGTATACAAATAATAATCAATAAACTTTGATCTATTTACTCTTAATATATGTCATTAAAATTTTCCCACGGGTTTGTAGTAAAACTGATAAATAAATGAGCCACGCCATGACAAAACCAACATGAGTTTGCGACCAGCATGGATCCAGACGGCACAGTCTGATCAGGATCCATGCTGTTCGCTATCAGTTTCTCTACTTGTTATAGGGCTTGTAAGCGAACAGTATGGATCCTGATCAGACTGCGCGGATGCGCAGGCTTGTCTGGATCCATGCTGGTCGCAAACGCATTATGTTGGTTTTGTCATAGCGCGGCTCAAATGTTATTCATGCCAGGTTTAATTCAGTTTTTTTGGAGATTTTACACCAAAGCTTGCTGAATTTGTAGTCAATTTGTCCAGGTTTTTATTTGGAATTATCTTTTTACAAGATAACGTATTTCAATATATCAAAATACAAAAAACTGACCTACCTACAGTATAGAAGTTTGTCAGATTTTACAAGAATGTAGGCTGGCCTTGTTCTTAACAGGACTAGTGGCAAAGGCTTACTTTTGGTGCTAGCAGGTAAGTGGGTTATGCAATTTGGGCGGTATTGTTTCATACATAGTACTCTTTCTATTGCAGTATTACGGTATAACCATGTTCATTCTACATATGGAACACTTTTTAAAATATGGTATAATAATATATTTTTGTGTCGCGTCTACAAGTAATGGCGACCTATAGGGACCACTTCTCCGTCGTCTGTCTGTCCGTCCCTCACAAAGCTTGTCCGGATTACTCCTCAGAAACTGCTCTTAAAATTTTATCCAAACTTTACTGTATTGATCAGTACCAAGTCTCGTTTTGCATATCGTTGGCATTTTCTGGTTCCATAATTTTTGTCAGAGTTATGGCACTTTAATTTTTAGCTAGACTTTTCGCAGAATAATCGAACTAATGCAGTCACCCATTTGTCAGCGTTTTTGCGTGTAAGCTTGTATCTCCATAACTACTGAAAGGAATTGATTGTAATTTCACACACTTGTGATTTGCTCTTTTGCATAATTATGCCCCTTTTTCGAATTAAAGATTCTTGGTTAAGTTTTTGCGTGTAGGCTGGAATCTCCAGAACTACTGAAAGGTTTGTGCCTTTCTTGTGACAATTTTATGCATTCATAATAATCAAGCAGTGATTTGCTCGATAAAACATCTTATTAATAACAAGCCTTTGTACCTTTTAGGACAATTTTATGTATTCATATAGGTAAGCATTATTAATCTCAATAAAACACCCTTGCGACAACTTTATCGAATAGACGAGCGTCGCTGTCCTCCGACAGCTCTTGTTATTTTTAAAGTTTGTCCGAACTACTCCTCTTACACCAATAATGCAATTTCAATGAAACTTTACAGGATTGATTGGTAGCTAAAGTACTTGCGCATATTATACGGTTCTCCGGTTGAATGATTTTTTGGCTGAGTTATGGTCCTTGAATAAAAGAAGTATTTGTGTTGCCAGCTACAAAGAAATTTGTCCGGACTAGTTCTCAGAAACTACTAGTGCAATTTCACCCAAACTTCACAGGAATGATCAGTACCAAATCTACTCATTTTAAGACACTGTCGATTAAAGTTATGCATTAGCATCCTTGGTCAATACTTGCACAAGACAACTTACTTTTGTTGAAATTACAATCTTCCTTTCCGAGAGAATGGAATAATGGAATAAAATTATAAGACAAAATCTATAAAGTCTTCAAAATGTATTGCACATCGATTAATCTTGGTTTTCTACAAAAATAATATATTTATACGACTCTATCATAGAAATTTCTCAATGAAAATACACATGAAAAATATTCAATATACTCTAAAATCATACACATTCAAAATGCAGCAAATATACAGAAAGAAAAGAAATACGGGAACCCTAGTACCAAAGAAATAAAGCTATTTCTAAAAAAGCGAATTATCTTTATAACTGGACAGTTGCCCTTTATCCCTCTAAAAAACTTTTAAAAATAACAATCATTTGGTGAAATTAACTAAAATTTGAAAAGTGGCCTTCGAGGCAAATGCCAATTAAAGGTCAATTTCATATTTCAATAGGTTAAAATGACGTTGTCTCCATGTGTCCATATATGATGGTTTAAGATTATACAATGGAAATCCTTGTTTACAGATAGGCAGTTTCAAACCTTAAAGCAGCATGCCTCCAGATTTATGCTAATATTCATGAAAATTTTGAAAATGTATCCAAAGATAAAATAATGTTAAATGAACAAAGACGGTAATTTAAACATTGCAAACGGCACTTACAATTAATGTAAATTACCAAAAAGAGGTCAAAACATGCAAAACGAAAACCATTTATGTGTTAGTAACACAGTAGAAATATGGTGATAAATACTGCACAGTCAGTCATTAATCACACATGACATAGAGGATATTTGTTTAGTTCAGTGTAAGATCGGAATATATTTCACCGAGTGAGCACCAAAAGGTATATTTCACGAGTGGCGCAGCCAGAGAGAAATATGAACTTTTGGTGTTCACAAGGTGAAATATATTTCGATATTACACTAAACTAAACAAATTTTCTTTTTATTATATGCATTGAAACGTTTTAAAAAGACATTAATAGAGGATATTGAATGAGTGTAAGTTCAATACTGAATTTATTGCACGAGTTGAATAATATTATTTTATTCAACGAGTTCAATAAATTCAGTAATGAACTAACACGAATTTAATATTCTATTTATCATATACCCAAAATAAAGATCGTTTAAAGTGAAATAAGAGTCATTTTTCATTAACGCGTCTATAGTATAACGCTAACATTTAGCGCGTCTTTACACTATGTTTGTATAACGCTAATGACGTCACGTCAAAATATATGCACGGCCGTGCAATACCATATTTACGGAGTCGCAAAATCGGCACGGGTGTGTGATAAAACATAATACTGAATGAAAAGTGCGCCAAATAATAATACAACGCGACGTCATTTACGACGTCACGTCATTAAGTTGGTACCCAGTACTGTGCACGCTGGTATTTCACTGAAACAACGTAAGGGGCTTAAATTCAAAACAGTGAAATTATAAAAGTGGTAATTTCACTGTTTCAAACAGTGAAATTACCAGTTTTTTATCACTGATATATTTCTATAAACCACCGAAAAGCATGTAATAAATGGAAATCAATACTTGAATTTTGAATCTTTTCAATATTTCTTTTTTTAAAAATCTTATCACATTTTTCTCAATTTTTCTTGAAATACTTTAGCTCATCTGAAGGCATGCAGCTTTAAAAGAATTTGATTGAATGGCATAAAATTGAATCTCAAAATTCTAACAAATTCATTAATACTGTATATCAAATGCTAAAATGAGTAACTTTATAAAATGTATCAAAATCGAACACCCCCAAATGGTGTATCATTTTTTAATATGCCATGTCTTTTTGTATTACATTTTGTCTTAAAAGATTTATTTAAACTATTTAACAATAAGTCCAAAAAATGAATCTGAGTATTGTAAAAAATTGGGATTTCTTTTTGGTGTGTCATACATGTAAACTTTGCACTAATGAATATCAATGTTGTTTTGGATGTTTGGAAATTCCGTCCCATGACTCCCATCATAAACCAGATCATTGTTCCCATTTTGCCCAATCGTTAAAAAGGTTTAACTAGCAGTAATGAATAAAGTAAATAAAAAATCACAACCACTTGACTTCACTTACATGTAAGACTTTCTGATAAGTCAAATTATAAAGAGAGGCCCCAACTTACAAAGTCAGGCCTTTCAATAAGATTAGTCATAACCTCTTATTGAGCCTTTCACATCAATTTGCATTCAATAACACGTAAGACTTTCAAACAAGTCAAAATATAAAACTTAACAGACCCCATGTGACAAAGTTCAAGCCTGTCAATAAGATTATGCATATAATTAAATCATATCCTCCAATTTAGCCACACCCCTTTAAAAGTTACACCTACAAAGGCCACACCTACTGAATAAACACACCTCCTCTGATCATGATTTATCTTTGCCAGTTTCTTTACTAAGTTCACTATCAGAACTAGAGTTATTTTCCATTAATAATGACAGCTGATGCCTTGCACTCTCCAGGAATAAATCCAGACTTACTAGCTGCCTTCTTTGTGTTGACCTGTCAGCCTGAAATATATCAAAGACAATAATAAATAATCATGCTGGGGGATAATTAAGCAGACAGACACAGAAGATACTAAATTATTGAAATCTTAGTACACTTTTCCCAAGGTTCATTTTCATGAAATATTTTGGCTTGTCTACGGGCATGCAGTTTTAAAAAAATCTGAATAATTGACATAATATTTTTCTATTTGGAGAGTTCAATAAATTTGTTATTGAATCTAAGACAATACAGTATTCTTTTACTTCCCTTTGTCATAAAAGCCAATATAAGCAGCAGAAGTAACTCTGAAAGACATAATCTAGCTGTGATACACACTTACTTCCCTTTGTCATAGAGATAAATTGTCAAAAGAATAATGCTGAAATTTCAATAAGTCATCTTCCTTATTAACTTCTATGCCATGTTTGTATTATTATTTTTTGTTTTGTTGATTGTTCACTCTTATGCCCTTAAGGGCCATGAGTCTTTGTTTATAAATAAAAAATAATAAATAAAAAATATACATGCTTACCTCCCTTTGTTGCTGCAGATATTGGTTCATATCATCTTTGACACATTGAGCAGTTTGCTGTACAGCTTCTCTAGAGTGTGTTTGTTCTTCTTTCAAAGCTTCTTTTAATTGATCCTAACAAACAAAATATAAATATAATATGATACTAACAAACAAAATATGATATTTACAGCAAACAATTCAATGCTTTTTTCGGTAGTTGGAATATTCATTTATTAGGGACCTTTATTACAAAGGTCATAACGAACAGCTACCATTACACTGGAAATCATTTTCAGAAAGCACTCAATCATTATAAATTTATGATGCAAAAACAAAGAAATATGTTCAACTTACTTTTGGACATTCAAAATGTTTTAACTATTAAAAAACCAAAAAAAACCCCAAAAAACAAAAAAAACTACTAGTATGTGTAACATGATTATCGAGAGAATGGTTGCAGTACAAGGGCCATTTCATCTCCTACCCAGGTCAATAGACACGTGCATACTTGTTCTTACAGACAAAGCTATACACTAAGTAATAGCTAGAAGTCCTATTCTTACCCAGCATTGGCCAGTAACCATTATAGTTTGAAATTATCAACTGGCTAACATTACACAAGCCTTTGCCCTTGTTCAATTTAGGCGAGGAGTATCCATACTTTGCCACAAATTCTTAGGAAATATGCTGTTTTAACTGTATATTGAGTCTTTAGTTTAAAACACTATCAACTACTTTTTCTATTCACACAAATACAAATTGTGTTACTTATTTCTCCTGTATATTTTTTATTCCTAACTTTTTGTACCGACATGCATCTGCACAAAATACTTGAAAGGCTGTGTTGCAAAGTTATAAAGATTTTTGACAGGTTATATAGCCCAATATAAACAGTTGTTGGTATATATAACCCAAGTCATCAGGCGAGAGTTATACTGCAAACAATCATTTATATACGGCCGAATAACCTGCCAAGAATGTTTATAATACAGCAAACTTCCTTTTTAGAGGAAAGAATAGATTTCTTCATAAAATTACAGGAGCCATGTGTATAAATCTATACAAATGGTATGATTAGCCAATGAAAAGCAACATTACAAACATGCAATATTATAAATAGATATATAAAATAACTAAAAAATTTATTTATCTTCATAACTACCTGATATTTATCTTTTTGTTCCTTTAATGCTGCTTCCATTGCATTTCTCTGTTTTTCCATCTCAGATGCAAGATTCTTTTTAAATGTGTCCTAAAATTATGAATATATAATCATGTACATGTATATAGTAATGTGCCAATGTGTACCAACCTAAATGAAATATTTACAAAATTTACACCATTTGCTGTAATAGTAGAATTCTTGTTACATGTATAAGTAATAGAAAGAGCATCAGAACACAAGGTTATCAGCCATGTACAAACATGTCTCCAAACTATGACACAATTTAATGTTGTCAGACATGTGAAAGTGAAATCTAACGATATTCAAAGTTACAACCAAGTTTGCCTAAATATATGTTCAGATATAAATCCCTTAGTCTGCTGGCAGAAACTGATTCTACCAATGTGACCAGTTCAGACCATGGTAAGCTGGCTTGTTTGTGCCATCTGTTTAATCGTCTGCACTATTCGCTAATCAGTCAGTAAATATTTTAAAATTTATCTAATAATGAGAAATGGTTTGTCTGAACTAATAGATGGACAAGTTTGTTATAGCATGGTAAGGATTAAGATAATCCTGACATAAAGTCTAATGAAACAAGTATGAAGTAATAATGAAGCATACAAATTCCCCCAGTACCGAGCTTTTCTAAACTGTATACACCTGCAGTCAGGCCAGACTCTACTGTTCACTATTCCATATCAGTATAGAGCTTTCATCATCAGATGATAAATATTGATGATACACTGATATATCAATAATTACTTAATTTAAATATTCATCACTTGTCTGTAATGCTTTTCTATACATGTTTAAATGCTTTAAGTAAAAAGCATGTTCTTTTTCATACATGTTTCATGTTTATTAATGCCCACTGCATGATTTCCGTTGACCATTTTTTTTGTCATCACTGCTATGAATTATATGCTTCTTCATATATTATTATTATTTAGTGAAAAGTATCGATTTTTTTACATTGTGAATTGATTATTAATAAACAGAAAAATATCATTTCTCTCAATGACAGCTCTAGTTAAGTATCGTTAAATTAAGAAACAAAACTCAAAATGAAAGTACAGCACATATATGACACAAAAATCGGTCAAATAAAGGTATTAGAAATAGTCATTACATATGCAACTTCAAACTTTCACTAACCTGCTCTTTTTCAAGCATTTCCTTTGCCTTTTGTTGCTCTTCTACAATCACTTTTTCTATCTCTTTTCTAGTTACTTCCTTTTCTTTCTGTAAATATTTATAACTCAAGAATAGTATGGCTAAAAAAAGTACAAATGTTTAAGTCAAGGGACCAACTGCCAAAAACACCAGATTTTCCATAAAGGATGTTTTTCGGGATTTTTTCATATAGACATATAGGCAGAATTAAAACTGTTCAATAGAAATTCTTTAAACTTCTTCACAAAATGCTCTTATGGCACTAAAATAACTACCATTCTATGCAAGTTTGTTTAAAATCTGTTGAGAAATGGAAGAAACTGTATGTGCCTAGTTGCCAATCAACTTGCCAACATAACCCGCCAAGATTCATCACTCTAATTACCAGATTTAAAATCCACATTTAAGTCCCAATTATGCTTTGTTTGTTTAAGTTTAAAGCCAATTTTGTCATAATAGACACAATGTCCAAGATCAATTGTCATTGGCATGTAATAATGTATCCTGTTAGAGTATATCATGTTAGTACAACATGTATATCAAGTTATAGTTTATTAGGTTATAGTATATCATGTAAGCACATCATGTCATGATGTTATAGTTTATTAGGTTATAGTAAATTATGTAAGCACATCATGTCATGATGTTATAGTTTATTAGGTTATAGTAAATCATGTAAGTACATCATGTCATGATGTTATAGTTTATTAGGTTATAGTAAATCATGTAAGTACATCATGTCATGATGTTATAGTTTATTAGGTTATAGTAAATCATGTAAGCACATCATGTCATGATGTTATAGTTTATTAGGTTATAGTAAATTATGTAAGCACATCATGTCATGATGTTATAGTTTATTAGGTTATAGTAAATCATGTAAGTACATCATGTAATGATGTTATAGTTTATTAGGCTTAAGTATATCCTGTTAGAATGTATCCATTTTTAATGGATCACATTATAGTATATCATGTAGAGAATATCATGTTAGTACATCTTGTTTATTAGGTTATAGTATATTAGGTTGTAGTATATTAGGTTATTGTATACCATGTAAGTATTTCATGTTACTATAATATGTTTGTATATACATATAACATTAATAATTGTTATTAAATCAAGTTACTATGCCATATTTCTACATCATGTGACTTTATCAAGTTAATATATTTATTATTATTATAATACTTTTTATTACTTTTTTTATGTCACATGTACTTTATCATGTCGCTATATTCTGTTAGAATCAAAATTTTAGAGTCAGTCTGGACAAGTTTCTAGTACATACTTAAGCAATATTAGTTACAATGAAACCCCTATACAATACCTGTAATTCTTCCTTGACCATTTCTTCACATTTTATTCTCTGTTCTGCTAAAAGGGCATCACACTCTTCCTGTAAGATTTGTACAATGAAATAAAATGTATACATTTGAATAAAACATTTTGTCATTAAAATTTTAATTGAAATTTCATCATCATTAAATTGTATATGGGAATGAGGAAAAAGTATTCTATGATTGTATCTAATTAGTCTAAATAAATAAACAAAGTGTATGTTAAAATATTGTTATTATGTCAGATAGGAAATGATATTTTCAAGCCATAGAGACAATCATACAGCTAATTTGCTACAACAATATTGATAATACAAATATAATGTTGTTCTTTTACAGTAATCTTTATAATTATGCAGGTACATACTTTCTGAAAGTACAATTTTAGAAAAAAAACTTTCCCTTGTGACTTTTGCATTAGAAAAGTATTTGATATTAATTTTTTATAATCAAATTCCGTAAATGATCAGCATCCACACATAAGTTGCAATAAAGGTTGACTATTTTTCTTTATATATAAAATAAGTTAAAAAAGTGAGTGCCTAACACTGGTTCAAAGAGTATACCACTAATCTGGTAACTCAGCCTTGAATTTGGGACAGTCCATTCAAAGTTGAAGGGATTTCAATATCAAAATACAAACATTAAGTTATCAACAGCACAGACGAAGGTCAGACTGTACAGACGTGCACAGAGGTAGCAAAGGCTGGTCACTTTTGGTTCCAGCTGGTGAAGGTTTAAAGAATATAAAAGCAGCATTCATTGATGTAAAAATAATATTTACAAGTATGGTACCTTTTGTTTTAATTTCATTTCGTCTACACTTTTTTCTATCTTTTCTTCATTTTTCTTTCTTTCTTCTTCTTGTAAACTATCAAATTCTTCTTTCTGAAATAGGGAAAAAACAGTGCAATATCAAAGCTTTATCACATCTATAGTCAAAGGTGTCTTGTCATAACAGTAAAATCATTATTTATACTTAGCAATAAAACAGTTTACAACAGGGAGGTCTGTCACATGAGGTAATTCTTTTATGGTTCCCCTTTTAATTTTTTAAAAACATTTTAACATTTTATCTAGTTTTTTTTCGTCACAGCTATGCTAGGATGCTAATTAAATGGCAGTTTTTTAGTGGGTTGGAATCAAGTGCCTACTTAAGTCATACAAAATGCACAGATGAGCACCTGAGTTGTTTTTTCTACACATAAGCTGGTAAGGTGCATAACAATCTCTACCACAAAAAAAAACAAAATGAATGAAAAAAGGAAGAACTAGAAATGTGTCCATAGGACACGGGTGCCCCCACCGCGCCACTGTTCTGTCAATCTTTTTACTAAGTCAAGGGAAATAACTCTACAAATACTGGATAAATCCACAAGCGAAACCCCAGGTGCAAATCTAAATATGCTGAGCAACCTGCCCATAAGGTTTAATGACTCTATGTCAAATCCTTTTTGAGTAACTTGCGACACAAGTTGAAAACTGCAAAAATTTTCTAAGTCAAGGGCAATAACTCTAAAAATACTAAATAAATCCAGAAAAAAATACCTGGTGCACAACTGCACATGCTGATCAATATTCCTGTGAAGTTTCATGACTCTAGGTGAAATACTTTTTGAGTTACGTGCGACACAAGTTGAAAATTGCAAAATTTTACAAAGTCAAGGGCAATAACTCTGAAAATACTAAAAATATCTAGACGAAAATACCCAGATTGCACAACTACATATGCGGACGGACAAGGGTAAATCTAAATGCCCGCCACTAAAGTGGGGCACAAAAAAGGAAGTGTTAACTTACCTGTGTTTTTAAAATTTCCCTTAATCTGTTAGTTTCTTCTTTAAGCCTGTCAGACAACCGTTGCTCATTTACCTCCCTTTGTTGTTGGATTGTTGTGTTAAGCAGACATTTATACTCCTCTACAACTATACTCAAAGTTTCATGGCCAGCTTGTCTTAATTCTTCAAGTTGTTTTTCATGTTTGGACTGAAATATATAAAAGCAACATTTTGGACAGTCATATAAAGAAATATAATGTTGGTCAATCTTGCCAGAACCAGTTTTAAGCTTCCTTTACTGCCAACATTTTATTTAGATTATTACAAAGCCAAAATGCCTTGTACAGCTTCACTTAAACGTCTATTCTGCAAATTTAGCAAAGATTTAAGTTGAGATTGCTTTTGATTGATAGATGTCATAGATCAATCATTAGACACTTGTGCACTATAGGTCATAATAAAAAAATGAGTTGAAGGTTTTCTAAAAGGTAAAATAGGCATGGTTAAATTAAATTCTAACTGGTTTGAACTTGATGATTCTTGTCTAACAAAACATACATTGTATTTGAAATTCAAATCACAAAAGCTATTTTTTTTTCTTGTTTCATGTCAAACCAACAGTATAAGCCATATGGTGACTTTCCAGCTTTACTGGTGGAAGTGCCATTCATGCATTATTTCAGATACAAATGAGCACCTGAGACGAACCACTAATGTTCTGTAAGCTTGCTGGATATCTTCCTCACATGACAGAATCCATACAAGATATAAACCAAAGTACCTACATGACCAAATCCAAAGTCTGTGTCAGGATACAAACCAACAGAGGTGAGGGGCAAGTGGTTTGAAGTCAATGACCTTAACCACTCAGTCCCTACAAAAGTTTTATTATTGTAAACGAGAATATAATTACCTGTAACTCATCATAGTTTTGTTTGGCAGCTTCTGCAAGTTCATGGGCTCGAGCAAGATCCTCTGACAATCGTGCATTTTCTGACAACTGCTTCTCAAGATCCTATAAAAGATGGATTTCTTAAATAAATGAGAATTCTAATCAACTGGAGTTACATTGTCTTAATAAACACAGTGTATTCTCTTCAAAAATTCTATTGAAAATTGTGCATTTAATAATCATTGTCTCCAACATACAGTCAACAGGTTTATGTAGAGACATCATGTATGCATTATTTCAGATACAAATTATGGACACCTGAATAGAATACTGATGTTCCGTAGGCTAACTACATTTCACTTAATAATACAGATATCCATTAGTATATTTTTGGTGGGTTTTAAGTCATACCCACACTGTAAACAATAGGTAATATGGCAACTTTCTAGCTTAACTGGTGGAGGACGTGCCCCTTTGCATTTTTCAGACACGAGTTGGCACAAGAGTAGAACCACTGATGTTCTGTAAGGTAGCATTTATTATAAATATAAAGGTACATGCATCAAGTTACCTTTTGTAGAGAATCTTTCTCCTCATTAGCTTTTTGCAGCATTGCTTCCTTTTCAGATAGTTCACTTTCTCGATGAGAGACAGTTTCATTTCTCACAACCTCATTGGCCACATTTTGAGCAGACGCAGGAATCTGATTGGCTCCTTCGATATTTCTTGAGGACTGGTCTAAACTAGGTTCTGCATTGGATATTTGTTCTGTGTTTACTCTTTGAGAAGGCATATTTTGGTTTTCTACAGTTGGTTGGCTGGTATTTTCAGCTCCAAGTCTTAGTACAGGAGAAGTGTTTAAAATGCCAGCTGCAAGGTCAAGCCCACTGATGTCTGGCATTTGTTCAACACCATGTGACTGAAAACTGGCTCCTGATTGGTTGTTTGAAGCTGATCTGAAACTCCCATCCAGTATATCATTAGCAAGGTTGATATTGTCAAGATCCAGCTAAAATAAAGATATTAAAATTGACTAATAAGTAACATACAAATGTTAACATCAAAATAAAAATCCTATTTCATTGCAGCATCAAACTAGAAATGTGTCCATAGGACACGGATGCCCCCACACGCCACTGTTCTGTCAATCTTATGACTCTAGGTCAAATATTTTTTAGACTACATGTGCCACAAGTTGAAAACTAAAAATCAACAAAGTGCCATAATTCTGTAAAATTTGGTCGCAGCAAAAATTCCTTCCTTCACTACCATCTACACATTAAGGTTGTTCATCCCTGGAAGTTTAAGCAAAATCTGCCATCCGGTTCAAGAGGAGTTGCGTTCACAAAATTTCTTTATGGTATATAGTGAAAAAATTAACAAAGGGCCATAATTCTCTTAAATTTGATCGCAGCAAAAATACCTTCCTTTACTACAATCTACACATTAAGGTTGTTCTTCCTTGTAAGTTTAAGCAAAATCTGCCATCCGGTTTAAGAGGAGTTTGCGTTCACAAAATTTCTTTATGGTATATAGTGAAAAAATTAACAAAGGGCCATAATTCTCTTAAATTTGATCGCAGCAAAAATTCCTTCCTTTACTGCCATCTACACATTAAGGTTGTTATTCCCTGTAAGTTTAAGCAAAATCTGCCATCCGGTTTAAGAGGAGTTGCGTTCACAAAATTTCTACATAGTATATAGTGAAAAAATCAACAAAGGGCCATAATTCTGTTAAATTTGGTCGCAGCGAAAATTCCTTCCTTTACTACCATCTACACATTAAGGTTGTTCATCCCTGTAAGTTTAAGCAAAATCTGCCATCTGGTTTAAGAGGAGTTGCGTTCACAAGATTTCGGGACGTACGGACAGACGTACGGACGGACGGACAGACGGACGGACAAGTGCAACGCTATATGCTCCCACTTTGTGGGGGCATAAAAAGGAGAGAATATAACCTAGAATGATTTATATTCTGACATTTACTAAAAAGAATTGAGATGAAATTTTTTAAAAGGTATTTTGATGTAAAATGAGCATTTATGACATAAGAATTTTCAGTAAAGTACTGTGACAGCACACATAAATAGTCCATCAACAACATTAATTTCATCTCTAACATTTGTTTGTCCATTTCCCTAGAAACAGTAGCTTCATCAGAATTTTTATCTTTTTTTTTTGGCACATGTATTTAAAAAATGTGCTCAATTATTTTATTTACCTCAACTGAGTCTTGAAGTCCGCCTAGATCTGGTTCTTGCTGGATCCCAGCCCCTGCTACCGACCCTTCTTGTCCTCCAACATCGACTGGAGGAATGCTAGCCTGAGCGCTCCCAGCCACATCCAGTGTGAGTGGGTTATCTAAATGCTGCGGGAACCGGTTCTGGCCACATAACAAATCTGGCTGCACATTACTGGTACCTTGAACAGCTTAAATGTAACAATAAAACATATCTTAAAATTGTTTAATGCTTAGACTTTTGAACATGAAAGCAAAGATTGCGTCTATACATTTACTGTATGCACAGACAGGAGACACATAGATAACATGCACGGCTATGCTCTGTGCGTTATGGTACTACTAGTGCCATGCAGAAAACTTTTAAGGTCAGGAAAAGGAACAATTTTGGACAAAATCATGCTAACATAATGGAATTTGGTAAAAAACCTACAATTTTTATAAACAGAAAAAAAAACATGTGTAAAAATTCCATTGATTTAAAGATGAGATATAGCATGCATGTTTTAAAACGTATACAAATTCTACATCTTATGTTCAAAAGTGGGTTTGATTCCAGTAAGTCTGTATAAAACGAACACTGTTAAGGGTTTATACTTAGAAACATATGCTAGAAACCATAATCGGGTGGTTACCTCATGAATGGATCACACGGCTGAAAAGGGGATTTCTATTTCAATTGAAACTGTCCACTTAAAATGTGTTGAAAATGCAAAAATGATAGAACTTAACTCATAAAATATGCAATAAGTCTGAATGTTGAACTTTTATCTGTGAGAGACAATTTCAACTTAAGATTAAGAACAGCAATGACTCAACCACAGTCAAATCAAAACTAACTTCAGCTACAGTCTATAAGGAGCAATTTTCTACTAAATGGCGCTATAATACATGTGAGTTTGAATAAGAAGCTTATCTTTTATGCTGTGTACATGTATATACTGTGAAAAAAAAGAAGTTGTATTGACTTGATAACTTTGTATGTTCTTAGAATCAAAAGTAAACCCCAGGTTACCCTGTATTGCCTGAAACTAAATACTTACCAGGAGCAAACATTGCAGCCCAGACATTTGGTGCAGCCTGTCCAGCAGGATTTTCCTGTGCTGGTACATTCACAGGATCAGCTGCCTAAAATAAAAGAAAAAATCTGTTCGCAAAAGAGTCACAGTTACAGTTATTAATGTTTCATCCGTATTTAAAAAGAGTGGGTTTTTTTAGAATCTTTATTAAGGATGCTCACTAGCCATTAAATCCTGGGGGTCATTTTGACCAGCATTGACTAAGTTTTACTAACTACAAGGCCAAATGTGCATGATTTTAACAAAATTTGACCCTCCAGTTAAAATCCTATGGGTCAAATCAGGTCTTTTGGAAATTTGAAGGGTCATGCAATGAGTCATTTCAAGGGTCAAACGGATACCCTATTTATTATTTACAATGTAATAAACATCTATCTTTACTATTGAAACACTTAAAACAAAAAAGTTACATTAATTTTAAACCAGAGTAACTAGATAATTATAATTTCAAACAGGTCTAAAAATGAATCAAAACGAAAAAAATGTCTTGCCTCAAAACCTCCAAAGTCTCCAAATTCATCATCATCAAAGCCATTGTCATCCTGAAAATTATTATACACTTGATTTAATGGACATTGTTGTTTTATCTAAATACTTTGATAATAACATTATATAATCTAAAACCTACCAATAATGATCATTACAATGTTTCATACATGTGAACTTTTTTCAATGATCAAGTGGGAGATTTTTCTTCAAAAAAGATGGAGATTTTAGAATTTGCAATAAACAAAGAAGAAAGTTCTGACATCAAAAAGAGGGAGATTTCTTTAATTTGTGAAAATACCCCTTATTTTAAGAAAAATCTTTGACAACATGGCTGCAGAAAGTGGGAGTCTCCCGCTAAATGTGGGAGAGTTCACATACATGTATGATGTTTTCATCAAATTATCAAATCAAAATAATTAATAAGTTAGAGAACAACTTTTATTTTCCATAAATAACCTTTGCAGTGTTGGGTAAAATCTTCCAGCCCAAGTTTGGGTCAAAATTATAAATATACAAAAATATAATTAATAATAAGTAAATATTGCAAAAAAAATAAAAAAAATAAAACTTTAATTAGTGTTGAGCTTATTTCTTCAACCAGTATGTTGCTGTTTTTTATATTTAATGAATTAATAACAGCTGGTGTACAAGGGCTTGGGTTGTTGATATCTACATTGCTGTCTAAAAACACATACATGTTATGAGAATCACTCACTGTTACTTAAACAATATGATAAAATACAATAATAGAATATTAAACATGCATTAAAGTTATCATACACTTTAACACTACAGTGTTCATGATAATAAGTTATCTTTTCTTGAGGATAAAATCTAAATTTGATGATATTTGCTCGACTTTTTTCCATTCAAAAGTACTGGGCTGTTCATACGGGGAAGTCCAAGGACGGGGACCACGAAGTGGGCCTGGGTTTTGGCTTGCCCAGCTGTAGATAAACATAGGGCAGTGTCTTTGTTCATGATTTTTTTAAAAAAAAATTAAGCAGTTTTCTCCTAAATGTTTGCTTTCCTTTTTCAAAAAAAATACCGTTATGATGAAATTGTCACACAAATTTAAGGGAAATATACTTTCCTCTTGCCTGCGACTTTCATTTAGGAGTGCTATTTTGTAGGGATTCCCTTGCAAGAAATGTCTATTCTATAACTTTGATTCAATCTAAGACAGATACGATTTTAATTACATCTATCTGTTACAGGGTGAGAAAAATGTGTAGCCTGACTGGGACTTGAACCCGGGACCCTTGGAATACCGTTTTGCGGCTCTACCGACTGAGCTATCCGGCCGCTTACACATCTTCTCCCCTAAATAGTGAACAGTTTGGAACCGTGACATACTCCCCTGCTATATTGAAATTCGTTTTCGAATTTCACAGAGTTACAGAGCAATGTAAATTAAACTTTGAGCTATATTAGTTATGGTCCCCGTTGGGCACCAAACGTTACAGGGTGAGAAAAATGTGCAGCCTATCTGGGACTTAAACCCGGAACCCTGAAAATACCATTTTGCAGCTCTACCAGCTAAGCTATCCGGCCGCTTACACATCTTCTCCCCTAAGTAGTAAACAGTTTTAAACCGTAACATATCTATCTTCCATTAATGTCAAACAACTTGCGGGGACATAGACTAGGGGGCATAGACTTGTCTGCGCAAGGAAGTAAAAATGCATGACCATCTATACATCTGAGTTACAGTTTTTGAAGTTTAAGGAGTGAAGCATGTCCGTGACACTAGAGTTCTGACCATAATCTAGCTTGAGCCACATTTATAGACTGTTCTACGCTTTATCATCATAGCATTATCCGAAATTTTTTGTCCGAAAACATACCTCTTTTCTCAAAACTACGAGTCCTTAAACAAAAGAACATGAATTTTCATTTTAATATAAAACTATAATCTAGATTGAATTTGGTAACTGGACTGCATAAATAAAATTTACTTAGTTCACTGACGTCATAAATAAATAAAATTAACAAAGTTGACAACAAACCAAGGGCGCCGCCATCTTTTTTTGTTTAACAAGCGACACTAAATTTTATGCGGTTCTAATCATTTTAATCATCGCAAGATGGATGTAGGTTGTATCGTGGACAAATCAGTTCTCAAACCTTTAAGCAGTCAACAGGTAATTTAGTTAAAAAAATATATTTTATAGAAATTCTTCGCATATGTCCTTTACAGGGTCATTCAAATTTCTATTTGAAAGACCCTGTCTTTATGTAACATTTATATAGCTAGGCTGAAATTCAACAGTAAAAACAGCTCTATTTACATCTTGGAAAAGTACAACCCTCTTATAAAAAAAAAAAAAAAAAAAAAAAAAAAAAACTGACATGGCCTCTGAAAATAAAGAACCTGATCTCAATAAACGTCTTGAAGAATCTGTGAAATTCTACTGTTTAGTTTAGCCATTGAAGTGATTGTCATAATTATTATGTCTATCACATGATATTGAAGTAACCTAAAGGTATCTGCGACGTTAAGATTTTTTTTGTTCTAATATTCATTTTCACGGTTCATTTTTTTCAATTTGCCAGCCTCATATATATTAGCATTGATACAGAAAAATATCATAGAAAGGCAAAGCTAGGATAGTTTGCCTTGTCTGACAATGGTTTTATATTGTATTCAAGTTCAACTTATACAGTGTACTTAGAGTATTTGCTACTACATGTACATGCATAATTGATTTTGTTTTCTTGCTTGAATTTTTTCAATTTCAAATTTAAAAGTCATTATTTAAAGGTTTAAAATGAACCGCGTCATGACAAAACAAACATAATGGGTTTGCGACCAGCATGGATACAGATCAGCCTGCGCATCCGCTATCAGTTTCTTTACTTGTTATAGAGTTTGTAAGCGAACAGCATGGATCCTAATTAGACTGCGCGGATGAGCCGGCTGGTCTGGATCCATGCTGGTCGCAAACCCATTATGTTGGTTTTGTCATAGCGCGGCTCAAATAGAGATTAGAAAAGCATTCTCTTCACATTGGAAAATTTGAATGGTGTGCTGAATGTTGATTGCCTAGCTTATTAAAAATGTCTCGCTGATCGTTGATTTTCTATGCTTAAATTGTATTGAAAACAAGTGAATATGGAATGTAGAGCTGATTGTCGATTTTCTAGCCTAACATTGGTCATTTTCAATGTCTAACTGATTGCCGATTGCCTGACTGAACATTCATTTTGACAAAGGAATTTTGAAAACTTAGAATGTGTTTGATAAACTGCAATTAAAGTTTGTTCAGTTCCAAAGATAACTTCATATAATCACATGTATTTAAAACGGCAACGTGATTGGTTCCTGTTACAAAAAGGTATAAGGAATAAATGTCATAATATACCCAACACTATAACAAATTTATCCCCGTACCGGGAATGTTAACGAATGTCACATTTTAGTAATATCTGAAAACTACATTATACAATATTAATGCGCATCAATTTGTACATAGTTTACATGACTCGGCATATTAAAATGGATTTATTCACCAAAAATATTTCCTGAATTGATTCTATATTGTCTTACAAATAACATCCCACTGAATTCTCTTTTTTGTTATACTTTTTAATAGTCTTTTTTATTTTAATAGTCTGATGCATGAATAATGTTAATTTGCCTATTGACGTTCAACATTTTATTGACGTTTAACATTTTATTGACGTTTAACATTTTATTGACGTTTAACATTTTATTGACGTTCAACATTTTATTGACGTTCAACATTTTTTTGACGTTTAACATTTTATTGACGTTCAACATTTTTTTCCGAGACCAAGATAACGCACTTAAGTTAAGTCAACTAATTGTTTTCGGCTTATTGGTCTCGAGTTGTAATAGTTATAGTATATGAAACGAGTTAGTTACGGGGGTATAACAGTGGCTGGGACGACATCGAGGAATGTTTCTGCAAAAAAAAAAAAAATGCCGACAAAGAAAAATATATACGTATATATATATTTTTTTTTCTTAATTAAACGAGCTATTTTGTCGACTTAAATTATAGCGGATGCATATAACCATGTTTTAGTTTTCTGCAAGATCAAGCAATCGAGACTTTCCCGTTTCCAGATTGTCCATGCTCACAACGGCATGTATTCAGTGCTGTGTTGCAGCTGCAGGCAAACAAGTTGCTCTTATGTTGTAGCTGTAAAAAGTTGCTGTTGTGTTGCAGCTGCAGGCAAACAAGTTGCTCTTATGTTGTAGCTGTAAAAAGTTGTTGTTGTGTTGCAGCTGCAGGCAAACAAGTTGCTCTAATGCTGTAGCTGTAAAAAGTTGTTGTTGTGTTGCAGCTGCAGGCAAACAAGTTGCTCTTATGTTGTAGCTGTAAAAAGTTGTTGTTGTGTTGCAGCTGCAGGCAAACAAGTTGCTCTTATGTTGTAGCTGTAAAAAGTTGCTGTTGTGTTGCAGCTGCAGGCAAACAAGTTGCTCTTATGTTGTAGCTGTAAAAAGTTGTTGTTGTGTTGCAGCTGCAGGCAAACAAGTTGCTCTTATGTTGTAGCTGTAAAAAGTTGTTGTTGTGTTGTAGCTGTATAAAATTGCTCTATATTTAAAATTTAGTTCATTATTGTTATATTTTCCTGTTTTCTTTTTCCAGAATCCAATATTTATAGCTTAAAACGGCGTAAATATCTTTTTGATGACTACACTACGCCTCATAAGAATATACTGACGCATAACAGTTATGCACGACTGATTTAAAAAGGTGGAATGGGTATTGCCCCATGATGTAGCAGTTAAATCATCGCCAAGAGAGTTGTTTCAAACCCGATTCACATGCATTGACTCAACTTTACTCAATCGTTTAGATTTAACTATTTTTACAAAATATATGCAGTTCAGTCATCCGAAGATAAATGTATTATTTATACAGGAGTTTTTAAGGAGTCGAATGTACATTTGTTTGTTGTTTGTTTGTTCGTTTTAACGCTGTCTGTTTAACAACATGTGTTTATGCTGATGGTAGGTAAAAGTTTTAGGGGTTCTGACACGCTTTAATTATATTATATTAGTCTTAAATGATTTATGTACCTTCTGATTTCCTTACACATTTAATTTATTTATTCTAACCGCATTTTGTATGTAATCTAGAAATGGATAACAAATGACACCACTCTTTCATTGTCGGATTTGCTCACACATTTCACAATAGCGCAAATGACTGACTAGACAATTTTATATTGAAACTTAAGTAAAATTCTTCGAACATTTATCTATGAAAGCAAAAGTGTCGGTCTTTTTAAACTGAGAGGTAGTGATTGACGAAAGTATATAATTTTTGTGGGACTGGTTGATTACTGCCAACGTGCAGCAAGGTGTAGACTAAGACCTGGCACAATAAAACGTTAATCCACGATTCGGTGTGTCAGGAGCTTGGATGCCAAGAATGCTGCCGATGAAAACATATACAATGCATTATATATATTTACCTCGCTGATAATGGTACAAATCATGATATTGTCGCAACCCATGCACGGTACACATTCCATATTTTACTACAATTTACGAATACAGATAAATATCCTAGGTAACTGAGGATGGTAAATTAAAGTAACCAATTGTATTTGGATGACAATATGAACGTTCCCTATTCTTTAAACTTCTGGGATGGTTATATCTATGTATTAATTTGGTCTCCAAAACACAAAATAATGAAATCTCTTATGAAGGAGGAATCAGTGTGACAAGAAGTTGCGCCATAACTCAAACCGGACTCGGTAAAATAAATCAACAATGAACTGTTAAAATGTTTTCACAGATAATTTAGCTCAACATTACTTTTTAATAAGTGTTAAATGCAATAAATTCATCAACACCGTAACAATAATATTTATATGCTCCAAACATGCATAGTGCATATATATCGTCTAATATTAAGGTTTACTTATGAGATAAAATCTGAACATTATCTCCATTTTATTAAAAAACATCATGTTATTACAGTAAATGAAAACAAAATAGTATATAATAAAGTCCGTAAAATCAAATAAGAAACAATTCCTATGAACATTACATTCTAAGACAGTTTTGCAAATCTTTTAATAATTTTTAGTGATGCACCAATCCTATATATTAGTATATCCCAAATATTTCACTGTTCCAGAAGTCATATGTCACATGAGAAGCTCCGCGTTGGTGGTCGGGTTGGTAATTAAGATATTTACAAACACCTTTATTTCTATCACTTTCTTTGGTCGCATCTTTGATCGTAGTGACGCAGTATACTCTTGATATATCATGAAACACTTGTAACTGGTGTAACGTTTCTTGCAGATAGTCGTCCCCATATATATAGCACTATCTCAAGAAGAAGTTGAAGAACTTCAACCAAACTGAGAACAGATGCTCCGAGGAACAGTCCCATTGCCCCACCGATATCTGACAAAAATCTAACGCTCTGTAATAATGATGATAATAATAATAATAATAATAATAATAATAATAAATATAATAATAATAATAATGATAATAATGGTGATGGTGATGATGATAATAGCACCTGATTATAGAGTCCAAACATATTCAAATATAATTATTATTTAATTGGCTCTCTTCGAGTATAAAACGTAATTTCTCAAGATAAACAAGATATAGGAAATATGTTACTGAAGTTGCATATATGTCGAGGAAGGTTATCATTTTGTTTATTTAGCAGCATATTGATTACAAAACTTACCTCATAGAGGGGCTCTTGTGATATTGTTTCATAATTTAGGTCCTCAAAGTAAATGATAACCCGTAGGAAATTTTGTCTGTACCTGTATATAAAAATAGACAGATCATATATAGTATTTGTGATGTATAGCTACACAGGCAGCGTAAGGAAGGATATCTAAGCGTTAGGAAGGAGGTCTAATAATAATTCCTTAACTTAAATTATGTTTTTAATCCTCCATAATATTATGATCGATTTTAAAAAGAGCTTTAACATAGAATGTTTCTGTTATCAAACACACATAAAAACTATACGTAAACAGAATAAAAAGTTCCGGAACAAAATATTACACTGCTATTTCAAATAGCTTATTACATGTAACTATTAAGCTATGAGTTCGTGTATAGTTAGTTCATATGGAAATATACCAACACATTTCTTTCATACAGTCATTTTTTGAATTAATATTTTTCAAAATTCACAAAATTCAGACAGAACTTACTTATCATAATCTTCGAATGAAAGATTGTCCACTTTCTCACATATGGCCTTCAACTGAGTTATTTCTTTTGATCTATTCTTTGCACATAGCTCTGACATCAACACATCCTGAACAAAAAATGAAAAGTTTAATCCGCAAAAATGATTTTTAAAAAATATCCATACGCATGAAATCAAAGACAAAGAACCTTGGCTAATTGGTTTCAAAGCTAGGCGTTTATTATCAATGACCCTTTTGTAATGTTAAAACAATATAATTTGTATATGCTTTTGGTGTTCAGGAAATGTATGGTTTTCAAATATTAATAAAATTCATCAACTGAAATCGTCTATTAATTGGCCGTATTAAGAACATTTAAAAAATGTCACATTCATACTTCATATCAATGTATATATTTTTCTCATTCTTCCGGAAAATTGGAGCCAACATTTTAGCATTGAATATAACTTAAAATTGCTGGTAGGGTTATGAGGGGAGATGATCTCTTAGGAACAGTCATAATAAAACTGAGTCTGCAATTTTCAACTAATGATTTTACGCTTTTTTCAACATCGATAATTCATGTGAAACACTATCTGGCCAAATTATGTATGTCTGGAAAAAAAACTTCTGAAGCGTCTGATAAAAATTTGAGTTGATTTTCTTTTTTTAATGACAATTAGTTAATGTAGAATATATTTCAGTTCTATATTTTGTTGGAAGCTATTCGCGAATAGAGAATTTCTCACACCCGTTCCTAGAGCCCACCAGATCACTTAGCAATGAGCGTAAACTTTCTTGCCCAAGGTAACACAAGCTTGCCCTTAACGGGATTGAACCAACTTTGCCATTAATCTTTAGATTACTAGTCCGACGCGTTAATCTCTAGACCATGGCAGTTAAATTAGATTTTGCTCACCATATACTCGTGTGTAGGCCAATATCTTGAAGACATAGTCTGCTCAAAGACAACTTCTCTGGAAATAAGAGAACAACAGTTTTTTTTCATCCATTTCTGGCATATCTAAAATAATTTATTTCTTGAAAAATTCTTCTATAACCAGCGTGTCATTGGCAGTCAGCAAATCTTTCAGGGCAATATGGAAATAAATTTATCAATTTATTTGGCAAGATTCTTTTTTTTAACTATGTTAAAATACGTAGGTTTTTACCTTGCAAACAACAATAATTTAAATCATTCAATTTTATAATCCTAATATGGGAACATGTTATACTTTTCGTCATAACGAATTGAACTTAATCCCCAGATAGATATTTTTGCTTCAAAAATCTGAAAAAGAGGTGACCCCTCGCAGTAATAAGATGACTACTGCAGATGCCGTTTGATTTTGTCAAACCCATATTTCGTAAATACAAGAGACGGAGATAGTAGGTACTGTTCCACAGAGGAAAATAGTTAGCAGAAGAACATAACAATCATACTTGCAAGGTCCATTACAATCACATTCGTAGTTACCATTGTTGAATCCAATGTCAATAGTGAGCAGACACTTTTTCTCTGTAAAAACACAAAATAGAAGAAAACCAATTATGTTTATCCGATTACGATATGTATATATTAATCTTATTTGTCAAAAAAAGATATTATTATACAACTTGAGCAATTTAAAAATCGATTGTAAATGCATTGTCTTTATATTAAAGGCATATTATGCCTCAGAATTGAATAAATGCTTCATTCCATAAAGAGAGTTATTAGTGTTTCATAATTTTATAACAACTGATTAAGAACATGTAGATGCTTATCACTTGAAGGAAATAGCTCTGAATGTGAAACAATTTGTTATAAGTGTAGCTAAATGTAAAGAAAGTGGTATTTTGACTTTCATATAAAATACTAAATCTCTATTTAACTGTACTTTTTGCCCAACATACAAAAGAAGAAAAAGATGGCTAAGCTCAGTGGCCAATGAACATCTTTTTGGAAATTCTACCAGAACATAAAAATAAAATGCTAGCTTTTGAGAGACAAGCAAAAATATTTTTATGCTTAATGTGCCTTGTAATGCCAATAAAACGCTACAAAAAGATCAATTATCCAGTCACGTGCTTTTTAAAACCTATTGATCATATTCACCATATTATCGGTTTTAGGCGACAATTCGAAGACATAATAGTGGGATAACGAGTTATAACCTAAAATTTTTGTAAAGAGAATAAGGAATATGATAAACAAGATCACAAGGAAAGACGGCGTTCAATGAACGCAACCCCCACACGACCCAGCAACAAGGAACCCAGGAAGACCCTAAACAAAAACAGGTCAGGGCGCAAGGCAAAGCACGGACAGGCTTATCACTAAAATGATACATAAGATAAAATAATAGTAACCGACAAGGAAATCAAAATCAAAGAAAAAAATAATAAATGATTGATTAAAAGGCCAAGAGGAAAACATCAACAATAGTACCGATATAGTAACAGAAATAATGTATTTTCTTTTACGTCACAGTACTGAATAATTTTGGGACAACTTACCCTCGACTATGGAGTTATTGCAAACCGGAAGTGCAGTTGAGTTAAGATTTATCTCATCTGGGGCATCTACAGGTATACATTTACACACCTGCATTGCCTTCCTGATGCGACAGAAATGATAGCATGCCTGAATGGACAAATATTGGTTCATTAAAGAACTGAATAAAATTTTCATTCCGTATAGAGGATAAGTATGTATAAGTAAGTAGGATAAGTATGTATATTAAGTAAGTAGGATAAGTATGTATAAGTAAGTAGAGGATATGTGTTTTATAATGTTGTAACAACTGATAAATAAACAAAATGTGAAATGATTATCACCTGAAGAAAATAACAATATGAATGTCAGTTGTCATAAAAGTATCAATATGTAAACACTTCAGTGGTATTTTGACTTCCATATAAAATACTTAATCACTATAACTGTATTTATTGACAACATACAAAATAAGCAAAAGACGGGTCAGCTAATTCTTCTTTCTTCAAAATGATCCATTTGTATAGATTAAACCCTTTGAGCAATGAGGCCCGAGAATTCAGAACCCGAATTTAACTGAACATAAACTGAATTACTGTTACATATACAATTGCACTAGGTTGTTAACTAATTGGAATTTAAAACAATCTTATACATGTATCTGGTCAAAATTAGTTTCAAGAAACATTGAAATTTTCATACCGATACGCTGTATTTCTTCTTGTACAGTTTAGCAAAATCAACACCTTTAACACAGTTACTGTATGGTTTTCCAAGTCTGGATATTCGTACCTGTAAATAGAAAAAAACAAAAACTTTTTTCTTCTATTTGTCCTAATACTGCAGCCCTAATAATATTAATAATAGTCATTTGTGCGAACATGCTGGCAATTTGATGAGCTGCAGCACGCTGTCGATTCTCCTCATTTATTTTTCTATTTAATGCGCAAATAAGTCATTAGATGTCAACATTTTAGCATTGATATATGAAAACAGATTAACACACTTATTTGTTTTAATTATGTACGTGATTCAAATGTTTACATGGATACTTGAATTATTTATTTACAACAACGCAATTTAATTCTCATAAACGTATTGTTAGACGGCATCAGCCATCGTCCTAGGCGTTCTTTTGCTGTATAACAATTAGAATGATCGATACTTCTTCATTTTTTGTTAAATAGATTGACACAAATAGTTCAATTACAAACACGATTATACAAAACTCCTCTGAGAATATATGAAACAACAGACTGCCGCCTCCTGTTGTGACATGCTTGCTGCAATTTCTAAGCGCCAAACATCAATTGATTTAAATGCAATGGTCTCGTTTATAAAGCTGATATTAGCTGATATTATCCCAGTAGATAATTCAAATAACGATCTCATAAATTGAATGGTCTTCAATTTAAAAAGTCTATTTTCAATTACTGAATTGATTAGATAGAATTAAAAGGTAAGATACCGGTATATAGTACAGGGGTGTAAGTGTATAAAGCTTTATTTAATGAAATATCTTTTTTATATAAAATTTATAAACTGTAAAATAATGATGTTTCCATAATCTCATGACAGATTCTTGAAACAGTAGTGTGATAAAATTTGTCTGTTACGTTACACTCTTGAAATTGTCATTAAAAGAATCATATGTTCCGGAACAAAATGTCATTTTGCAATTTGAAGTAGGATTTTTACTATTCAGTTGCCGCACCATTCTCTTTAAAGAAAATGTACATACATATTTCTTTTCTATAGGTAGGCTCTATTTCGGAAACTTTCCTTTTCAACAGCAGCGACAAAATGAACAACAACAATAACTGTTGATTTTATTTATGATTATGCAAATAAACACTCTCCTCCCAAAGATCAACAACAACGAAACAACACTGACAGCAAAGTAAGTTTTCGGCTTAAATGGGCTGTGCAATTAAGCATCATATAAACATAAGGACTTCGAACACGCAAGCTTTGTATAACAGTGTTTTCACAAAAAAAGCTTATACTCGTAATAATAATAATAATAATAATAATAATAATAATAATAATAATAATATGTTTTTATACAATTGTTATAACATATTTATTATCGTCAATTAGGCACCAGCGTTATTTGATATAGAAATAATCGCATGATTAAAACAATGCTCCAAAAATAAAAAAGTAACACCTTTGGTTACTAGCGAATATCGCCAAGATCTCAACATCGACCACATCATATTGCCAACGCGTTTCGGGTCCCAGCAGAAAACCTAAAGTCATTTCAGGACGCACGGATCCGATAATCCAATCCTGTTTAGTTCGCTGTCGATAAAGTACATCAAAAATGCACTTTATAAATTCAGACATTGATATTCTTTTAAGAACTCTGCATATGCATTTTTAACCTTTTTTAGATTTTAGATATCTTAATATCTTAAAGTTTATGTTTTATTGAGTAAATATATATTTGATGGAATCTCCCGTATTTATTTTTCGTGTAAAACACGTATAACACAAGCATGCATTTTTCAAAGTAATTTATCATAATATAATATTGAACTTTATTTGCATTATTTTTATATGTTAAGCAACTAAGGTTTTATATCTTAAAACCATAAATAATGAAATTCTTACACAGATCTACTGAGGTACTTATTCTATACAATTTTAGCCCGATGAAAGCGTGTAAACGCATTTCATTTTATGGCCATTTTGCCTGTTCTGGAAAAAGGAGTGGACAAAAAACAAAAATTTGCACACACACAATAAGTCCAGACCTATATCACATGGTACACATCTCTTGAAGGGTTAATTTTTTCATGTACACAAACATCAGTTAAAGCTCTTTAAAAACCTTTAAAGCTCAATACAGTAACAAGAAAAGGTATACTATTGTTCCCTATTTTTTGTATGTTCTGCTTAAATATTCAAATTAATATATTTTACCATTTTTAATCCTATATTTGTTTCCGTTCCTGGTCCAAGAGTGATCCCCTCATCAGTCGGTAGCGGGTAGGTTCCGGGTTCATGAAGTAAGAGCCGCACACCGTACCCGGTAGAGAAATTCGATACATACTCATCTATCTCTAAATTTAGCGTCATCTTTATACCTTGAAGGAATGAATATGCATATTTCATTTTGATTGACATCCAAAACAATTAAATAATACAAATTAAAACACACTTGTTGGTTATGCAAAACTGTTGAAAAAAATGTTTTTAGGAACATTTCTGCAAGATTTTAGTTCTTAATGATATCTAAATAATCAGACTGATCTTGCACTATTACTAGACATATTTACTTCATTTATTTACAATATCTTACATAGTTTCGTTGTGAGAACAAAGCATAATTATTTTAGTTATACCGTGAGACGGGCCGCTCCTCCAAGCTACGTATCTTGGGGAAGAAACCGTGAAACAGTTTCCATACTTTGACGACGAAAAATTCTGAAAATACCTGAAATAAATACATTTAATTCTATTTTAAATTAAGTAAGCACTACTATTATAATCTTTTTTGACATACATTTTGTATTTGATAGTTGGGACTGTTTGACTGCAAAACTGGAGTGTTTTTATTAGCAGTTTTGCAAAAGTGACTTTACACTGCACTTATTTCACACAATTATATCATGTAATTAAGAAAGAAAATGAGTGTAAAGCAGTTTGTATGATAAAGATTTTATATCTGCTAACACAACCATCTGGTTTATATTTGATATCATATTAAATCAGCCCCTAAGTTACGCTCCTATATTGAAACGCTACATGCAAGAAATGACTAATGACATGTAGTTTTGAACTTTAGTCATGTTGATTTAATACTTACTACGTACATTATTGGACACTACATTATTACAAATTATAAAGGGAATTCTAAATCATTCAGGGGTTAAATTTGTTAACTGAACAATAATTTTTGTAGCAATGATTTTAAACTAGCCAATCGAAAGTTTTTTATATTCATTTATATCTATACCGTTCTTTTCAGAGGGAAATCACGTTCTTAATTGGTATAATGTTTACATACGATATGTTTTCCAAACTTCCAGCAAAAGATGCGGACATTATCATATCTTCTTTCTGATGGCCCATCTGTTGTCTTAGATTTCTGCCAAAGAAAATTACTTGATTTGTATAAAAATATTCTTCTTTTTGCCAAATGCAATTTTTGGGAATAACATTCAGGTTGTCTACAATTAGATACAGTCTTAAGAGTTTTAACTCGCATGTTCATTAGATATGAAACAAAACATGTTGCACCCACTTATTTCCTATATCATGTTCAAGTGGAAAGATCTGTTTTTTTCTGATAATAGAAACTGATAAAATTCAAACTGCAAAGCAAAAGATATTGTAAATGAATGAGAACTTACAAACTTTCATTCTTAAAAACATTCTGGAACTGTTCTACCCTTTCGTCCCAAATATCCTTTTTCGAAGATAATTGGGAGAAAATATACGCGTTCGGGTCACTCCAGTCGCTCCACGAGTCAGTATCATAACCGTTGTCATAATAACTGGAGGCATAATAACCGTTCGCACTATACCAGGCAGTCCATTCGTCTAACCAATCAGAAGAAGTGCCAGAAGACTCGGTAGTTGTTGACGGTAGTACACTCGACACTAATGAATTTACTGCTGACGAAAGCAGCGGGACACTTGGCAAAACCGAAGACGGCAGAGAAACTGGTTGACTGCTGAGTAATGAGGAAGGATCTACGAAACGTTTGCGTCGACGGACTCCTTTGAATGGAAATGTTGGTTCTGGCCTACTTTCAGAAGAAGATAAGTAAGATATTGAAGACTCCTGATAATACATGGATTCGTCTAGTGGACCATAGAATAACCTGTCTATATGCTCTTCCGATGATTTCATTTCAAGAACAGGCGTTGGTTGAATGTAGTTGGGAGAATATCTTTCTACATTAATGTTAGGTTTGTTCGTATTCTTAGCTTTAGCCTCATTGTTTAGTGATTGTTCTTCATCCAAAACAGTAACGACATCATCATCAATACTTCTTTTCTTTCTTCCTGTTGAGGAGGCCTGAGAACATATAAAATAATGTAAATAGAGTCTATTTTTAGAAATAGTATTCGTTGCATGCATATATCTAAAAAACAATTTATGATTCCTTTGTAATAAAAAATATCCAAAAAAGGCTGCTGACACGTCTGTTATCATTCTTAGAACATTTAATATCAAATGTTGTTATTCAACTATTAATTGTCTTATGGTTTAAACAAACTTTTATTTCTTTCGTATTATATAGATATCATGTAAAACGAAATATAGACAACATAATTTTTACTGGAAGTAAGTGATAAAACTCACAGCATTTAGTATATTCTGTAACGCATTTGCATTGCTCAGCTTTGAATTTCGCACCGGGTTCATGTTGCAAATCGAGATGGCGGGAAAAGTTATTGAATTGAATTCTAGAGAAACTGTGGTTTGAATCGGGTGAGAATAGTATGTTCTGCAAGTAAACGTGTCTATTTTAAAACAAAAATGTCATTGTAACTTTTCATATCTGTAGAGTGATCAGTTACTCGAAAGAAAAAATGACATAATAATAACAATTATCAATCTTCCAAAAACAAATTACTTATCTCTTTATACTGGTCCGATTCCAGGCTTATTAAATAGAAAATGACTTCAGTTCAAATAGACTTTATCTTATAACTTATTAGTTCAAATGATTTTTCTTTTCACAACATAAACATTATTTATTATTGTTTATAACGTGACAGTATAAATCCGGTTCACAAAGGAAATAGTAAGTAATCACTATACTTGTTTTTTAATGTTGTAAACAATCATTGCCAGTTTCATTTACAAAATCAGCACAATTATCAATTATTGATATCGTACTACCATGCCACACAATTTCTATTCATGGACATCATTAACCTTCAATTCATCAAATAAACTGACTGCTTAAAATCCCCACCAATTTGATATAATTTTTAAATTATAATGCATCGATTTATATTTTTTACCACTACAGACACTGTAACTATATGACACTGCATTTTGAGCATTGCAAACAACTTCACCAATTTGATATATTTTGAATAATACACCGATTTATATTTTTCACCACCACAGACACTTTAACGATATCAAAAAGAAATACAATGTATGAGAATTAAGCTTTGCTAATTGCCATCTTCTATGCACATTAATAAATTATTTTTAAAATACTCACTTGAAAAGACCAGATAATTGTATCACAAGAACTGAAAATGTTGCTAGGAAGAGTAGGCACCACAAAGCTTTAACTGCCAACTGTCTCGATGATATTATCTTTGGAATCCCATGCAGCGAACTACCTTCTACCAAATCCTGATTGAAAATAAACATTTACACATGTATGTGAATTAATTGTAAGTTTTGTCATTTATTTATCATTTACCCTTAGGTAACATGCCCTGGTTTATATCTTGAACAGTACATTTAAAATGTACATGCTTTCAATTTCTAATACAATGGTAAAGCTACCAAGAGCATACAGCCTGGTCTGACTAGTGGTCTCGCGATATGCGGACTGGCTTCGCTTTGTACCTTTTTATTTGATTATTTTAAACATTGTTTTACTGTTCTCGATTAAGTTATTATCATCCTGTACATGATAAGATTAATTGTTTGAAATTAGAATCAAGAATAGCATTTAAAGCAGCAAAATGTATCGATGAGATCTTGGTGCTGGGTTTGATGGAATAATGTCGTGTATGAAAAAAAAATCAAAATTCAAATAAAATTAGACTTTACACAGTATTTTAAAGTAAGCGTTGCATAACTAATAGCAATGCATATTGTTCTCAAAGGCTTTTCACATATGATGTCAAAAGTGTTATAGAGAATTACTGATGTCATTTCCTATCTCACGGTGGTGAGCAGGATTCGTCAAAAAATGAGGCGATACAAGGTGACGTTATGGATACAGAAAACGTGCATTTTTCGCCCGTTTTAGACGCCGCTTGCAATTTTCTAATAAAAATAGCTTTTATGATGTACAACATGTCACAGAGCTTTAAGGGATTAGAATAAACGTTTAACTGAAGTGAAAGTGTCATGTTTGAATATCATATTCGTTTTATCATTATCTAATTTTATCTACATAATAAATAATGTGGCAATGAGCCAGTCTATAGTCGATCGTTCTAAAACTTAACCGTTGAGATAGGTGACAACTGAGGCAGTGTAACTTACTTCATTTGCTTCGCCTCTGTTGAAGTTCGGCTCCGCCTTAAATTGTCATATTTAATTTGATATGATGCTCCATATGCTAACATTTAGTCTTCGTTGACGGGGTAGAAGGAACCAGGACAACTTTGATTAATATCACTTGTCGAATCATTAAATTACAGGTTCAGGCCCACTATTAGAGAGGCGGTTCTCACAGTACAATAAACCGGTTACGCTACGGTCTGTAAGGGGTGATCACTGCAGAACAGTTTGTTCTCAAAATCATTCGAACATTATGCAATTCGTACCAATACTTAAATGGGTATATTCTCGGCACATATTGTCTTGAATTTATTCTAAGTATACCAATCATTTCAATTTTATTTGTTACCCAGTTTATATTGATTCGACCAGACGTTTCAGTCTTTGTCGCAACAGACAAACATTTAAGAATTTCAGACCTGGCATTATTTTGTGAATTTAGGATTAGGTTCTACATTTTCACAAAAATATGCAACTTTGTTATTAAACAACAAGCACATATCAAGAACATGGAGAAAAAATTGATTTGTGCTTCGGATATTCAACTGTAATAGAGAACGATTTTCAATGCTGATTGACTGTTCACATCATTTGGCGGAGTCTTTGATGTGCAGCATCAACATTTGACTTGTTGATAATCTATAATACATATTTCTAACATACAGTGAGAATTGACGGGACTCGCTACGAATTGGCTGTTTTTATTTTCTTTTATGATCTGTTTCACTCGGATCTCGGATATTTAAAATAACTTTACTCGAATAGTCTCAGAAACCATTAAGAGTTTATTTCATTTTGAAACACAGCGGATAGCTTGTACAATTACGAGTGCCTTATCTCGTAAAGACTGGTTGGATTACGGCAAATATATTGATAACAAACATATCTGAATCTGGCAAAATGCCCATATATCTGTGCCCTAAAAACGTCATAAATTCATTTATATACAAAACATTCACATACGTATGGTAATCACTTTGAATTAGATAAATCTGTTAAATTTAATGACCATCAGATTTTACTAAACATGTACAACAACATGACATGCTATTAAAATAGTTCACAATTCTGCACAAAGAAGCAGCCACAAACTGAAAAACAATACCATATCCTATTAAACATATATCTGCCAAATAATATGACATATATGTAGATGGAGGAAATGTATATCACAGAAACAAGATATAGAGGATATTTGTTTGTTTGTGTGTAAGATGAAATTTTATTTCATCGAGTGGGCTTTAAAAACAGTATTCTCACGAGTGGCGTAGCCACGAGTGAGAATACTGTTTTTAAAGTTCACGAGATGAAATAAAATTACATCTTACACAACAAACAGACAAATTTTCTTTTTATTTTATGCTTTAAAACAAGTTAAAACGAAATTTCCATAATTTTAACGTTAATATTAAAATCTGTTTCCCCCATTGAGAGCCCCATTTAGAGGGAATTTCTCATTAAAAACAAGAAGCCTTGAGCTGAAAAATAAGTCCGCCAATCAAGGTTAAATGACGGTGATACTTATTCATTTTATTAAAAAGATATGAATGATCGCTTGTTTTAATAATAAAAACAAACAATTCTTGTAGGAGAAAAAGTCCAACCATCCATCCATATTTCTGTTACTTACTGCGAATTTATATTAGACCTGGCTTTGTAAAATGTAAGCGGCAGCCATTTTTTAAAGTTGTGTATTTCATGGGAGGAAAATAATTGTGTAAGATTCAGAAGGATATAATTTGGATTTGTCAGTCATACACCTTTTTAAAAGAAAGAAAACTTATTTGAGGATTGTAACAGACAAAAAATAAGTGTTGACAGAAGTGAAAACATTCAGAAAAGGAGCTAGGAAAATGGAAAACTTGGAAGCTTGCTAAGGCATTGTAAGGAACGCTGGGTTGTTTTACTTATTTTACGAGTGATGGCTGTCAATGCTTTTCAATTTTTCATAAAGCATACGGCAGTTATTGCTCGTAGGATACTTTAATATGCCCAAATGTCATCAAGAGTAGTTTAGCATGGGGAAGGAATGTATTTTTCAGACTGTAAAAACGAAACAAAAAAAATTAGAGACGAAATTTTGTGATTGGAATTTGAAGAAATAGAAGTAAGTTTTCTCTCTTTATTACTTTTGACATTTAAGTTATTTATCTATTTCAGCTTTGCTATTTTTTTAACAGCCTTATATTGTCAGAATTGTCAGTAAAAATAAAATAGAGGTACCACATGGGGAAAATCTTAAAAAAGTAGTTTCGTCATTGAAAAAAGTGAAATTATATTTTGATAATTTTCACTGTGAAATTATCAAATATAATTTTCACGGATAAATCAGTAATCCACTGAAAAGCATAAAATAAAAACATATACAACGATAGGCAAGTATGTATATTTTGAATATTTTTATTTTGAATAAGTTTTTTCTTTAAAAGTTATAGACGTCAATTTATTGATACGTTTTTCTGTAACCTAGTAGGTCAAACATTTTTTTCAGTTTTATAAAATTGGGTTTACGTAATCATCATGGTTATATTCAGAACAAAAAGCTAAAAAAGAATCATTTGCAGAAAGCTGAAAAGTGAACGAACCATTTGCGTCTACCTACCAGTTAACAATGTGATATTAACCATACAATATTGAATGTATACAACTATATTGCGTATATTTAAAACACAGTCATTTGTTATATCAATAGACCATAAAATACGCTTTAACATTTTTTTCAAATACAAAAAAATTGCTGAAAATTAATTTTACCGTCAAAATTTCTTTAAATGTTTTCTTTTCCACCTTCTCTCCATGATTTTCCGATTTAAACATGTCTTTAATTTCCTTTTTGCTTTCCATCCTTCTGCAGGTATATGCTTATTCCTCCATTTGGTTTGTCAAAATGAAAAAACAGTCCGAGTTATTTCAATAAAACTCTATAACTATAGTGAAAGGTGAGCTCTACGTTTACACGTACATTAAACTGTAACAGTTTCTATTAGTCCGTATGCAAAACTAAACAGTTTATCAACAGTCAAGAAATGTTTCTCCCTATCTAATTACATGGGGTGGTTGTTTGCGTTCTGTTAATAATTATCATAAAATGAGCCGCGTCACGACAAAACCAACATAATGGGTTTGCGACCATCATGGATCCAGACCAGACTGCACATCCGCGCAGTCTGATCAGGATCCATACTGTTCGCTATTGGTTTCTCTACTTGTTTGTCTACTTGTAGAGTTTGTAAGCGAACAGCATGGATCCTGATCAGACTGCGCGGATGCGCAGGCCGGTCTGGATCCATGCTGGTCGCAAACCCATTAGGTTGGTTTTGTCGTGACGCGGCTCAAATATCGTAATCATTTGATCTATTTAACGCTAGCTACCCTTCTACTATGTTAACAAATATGGAAAATCAATCATCAAATATTAATGTTTTAATAGCATCTATTTCAAGTGTCTTAAACCCTTGCATTCAAGGATTTCTATTGGATCATTCTTAATTGAAATGTAATGCTACATTGCACCTATGTTCCCAATGGATTAACATTGAAAGACACAAAGAAGTGCCATCTGATGGCATTGGTTCAATTAGATATAAAAAAACAATCTAATAGATTCCTTTGAGACAATTTGAACTCAGACGACTAGAAAGTTTTGATCGTTGTATTTGTTTGAACTTGCATGCACATCATGTGAAGCCCACCAGCACTTTGAGCTTTTTCTAACATGTATTAAACAACCTATTTTAAAAAATTTGGTAAAGTAAATCATTCCTATGTTTAACATAAATTACAGAACACATAAAAGGAATTTCCAAATTACTAATTCTAAATTGACAAATATTTAGGGATAACACTAGCAAATTAAAAATATCAACAAAATCCAAATTCACAATACTGCGTTTTAGCAAAATAAACTTTACAGTCATTTTATTTCAGTTTCACCGTTTGATGGTGTTCCCTACATAAACCAATATCTGCTTCACACTAGGCGACCATATAATTATAAGATATTTGCCCGATTAAATGAAGACTCGTACAGTCCGCACAGAGGACGACTTAGTACTAATATCGCACATGTTTATTTTTTGATTATCTGTACTGGAATTTATTAGAAATATACTTCTTATAGAATTGTTCATGTTGTTACCAGTTTATTACAGTGTCCCAAAGGCAAAGTTCTACATGGTTCAGACTTGCAAACTCTTGAAGTTATTGCTGGTTGAACGTAAATATAAACTTTAATATGTTTTAATAACATAGCGAATGCATATACAAGATTTAATTAAACAGAGGATACAGAGCACTTATTATGCTATATAAGCACAATACGTCACATTTTATGCGAGTCGTAATCATGAATAAAAATGTAACAAGTAGTGCTTAATGATGAAATATAGATAATCAAAATTAATGTGAAACAAAACTATTCTTTCATATTTTTGTAGATGGATTCAATTGAATTTTCCTAAATATGTCGCATCTTTTACATATTCCTTCATGGTGTCAACACGCCTTGAGCCAATGTCAGTGTTGAAAAACAATTCTGAAATATTTCTACAGTTTTGGTGTATTTGAGTCTGCAGCTGCCTATGTGCTTGCAGTATAATTTTACTTTAAATGTACTCGTAAAATCTGTTTGAACACCTTTTTCATTCATTTAGAATAAAGGCTTTCCATCCGCTATCTAAAACAATAAGAACTATTTAAGACATGATAAAAAAATTGATCTTTTTCACAGTTTTATTGTATTAATCTACTAAAATTGATATTAAGAGCTGTCATTCAGAGAATATTCAGCATGATTGAGGTTATTTATATTTATATGATATAATAATGACTTTCACCCTTACCCAAGTTTTACCTTATACGACCATTTGAAATTATCAGATCTCGTCTAGGATGATTGCCTTACAGTCCTCTTGGGACATGGCAGTATCACAGGTGATTTCACAATTCATATATCTTGTCAAGAATGTCAATTAAATATTTTATGATAACAATTTTACAAATGCATTTTGTTTATAGTAAGGATTTACAATCTTACATTTCATTCAAAAGATAATACTATGACAAATTTGCACACATCCTGCTATAAATGAAGCATAAAAGTATAAATCATTGTGTTTTCGTTTAGTTCCTGTATTAACAGAAATGACGAAAATAAAGCTATAGAACCGTTTTCAAATAGATTTGTAAACTGCTATTGTTTTGCAAAATCGCTAAAAGAAACAGACTTTGGAATAAGTCGTCGAGCAGCTAACTCCTGTATTTTCTAATTTTCTCAATCCGACACTGAAAGATAAGACGGCCTAGAAGCTTTAAGATGCCACTCCGTATATTATCATAGGCACGAATGGGCACTGAGTAATCAACAGATGTTCCATTAGCTTGCTTGATGTCTTCCTCACAAAAAATAATCCATAGTTCTAAGCGGGAATAAACAGCAGGAGGCACGAGTGGTTTGAATTCAAAGACCTTAACAACTGGCACATGGAGATAAATCTGTATAACCAAACTATTGTGTTAGAGATCCTTATTCGACGGTTAGCGGAAAGGCCTAAAATATTGCAACTCCTGAAAATATTGTTAGATTGATATGTGCATGCTATCGTCCACGCCTCTAGCACCGTGTTATAGAGGAGTCAACATTTAAATATGATATTGCTACAAAGAAAACCCTCTAAACCATCACAATCTGTTGGATCATTCCAGCTTTTTGTATTTTCTAATCGCAGATCAGTAAATACAATGCTGACATTCAATCTCTGACACAGAGATTTCAAGACAAACCTAACAACAAGTAGTTCTCAAAAGAGCTTAAAACTAGCGATGTAAACGAAAGAAATATTTTTATTTTGTTACAAGTGTCCAACAACTACAACTCATTCAAAGTTTAACAGTAGCGTTGGCTTATAGAAATGTCGATAAATGCACAATCACAAATTACGCGGATGAAAATCACTTTAATCAATGAAAATGCTATTTTTAGCGATGTCGATTACTGAATACTTCAGAGCGTAGAACACAAATAAATCTGACTGTCGAGTAGTGGAATATATACATGTCGGGACTGTTTTGGCGAGAAGACTTTCGCTAAATCACTTATATCAGTGTTAAACAACATGAGGTTTATCGTGAACAAAATACCTCGAAATTAATAAGGATTACAAACCCGAAATGGAAATTCTAAATTTAGAATTATCTGATTTAATTCAAGCTTTCTTCATATAACTTGGTGCAGGGGTAACGCGCTCGTTTAGGGTGTGAGAGGTTTGGAGTACAAATCCCAGTTGAGGCAACCTTTTTTTTTTAAGTGTCTTTTTAAGGAAGTAGCCACGATATGCAAGGATAAAGTGTGGCTGTCATAAAAAATGAACATAAATGATTTTTTGATGCAACTCTAGTCATGCAAAATTCCGTATGTATCAAACTCAAACTGTTATAGTAAAAAATCTAAATGTAGTCGCTGCATCTCGGTGCCCTGTAAGATTAATTATAGTATATAAAAATAAACTTAAACAGGAAAATACATATGGATATACAGTACGATTTAGATTGCAAAGGTCAGAAAATACCACAGAGCTTGCAGCCCTTTGATTTTACGAAGCGTTCATCTCAGTAATTCAGAACATCCACATATTTGGTCTACGTCAAAATATAGAACATTGAATGTACCACGTTTTTGCCATTCCATATAAAGTTTTTCCAAAGTAATGGAATGCATGTGCTTTAAAGGAGAAAACAATGGTCGGAACAGAATAAAATTGAATGTTCAAATGGGATCATAATTCGTCAGCTTAACACAATAATGATTTAAGAATATTCTATGGCCTTTTTCCTATTTCTTTTACTCAGTAATCTCTAATATTGATATGTCCGTATAACAAAGTGTTCATTTTTTAACACACCCGATATCTTCATCATACCAGCACGTCGAGGGTATACTCAGGCGCAAACAGACAAAAAAAGAACAAATGCAGGAGAGTACTTCATGCTTATACAAAAGGGGATAAGACAATTTGATACAAGAAATGTGACGAAACACTGAGAAGATAACAAGAAAACATAGCATACATAGAGGGGGGAAAACTTTAAGGCGTTTGATGATTTTATTATTTTACTTTATTACAATGTACATCATACGCATAAAAGGGATTAGGAAGACGTTCACGAAATGCAGCCCCCAACCATGCGCAGTCACACAAAGCCAACGGAATGACATCCAGCATTGTACTGGACCTGGACAACAGTTGTGTTTTATTCAATCATTTGACAATTTCATAAGCATATACATAATATTTTTGATTTCTTTTCATATTTCATAAAGTGTTTCTATATCTTTGTAGTTATCACATAAATCAAAGAAGATGTTACACAATTATTTTTACGTTTATATTACTTTTCGATTCGCATTAAATAGAAAAATCTAATTCGATCTGACAATTGATCTCGGACAATGGTCTTAATTGTCATTTTTTTCTCCGCTGATTCAAGAATCATTTGGGATAAGTAGTGGGGGAAAATTGGTAATAACTGGTTGGTTATCTAAGAGAGCAGCTAGGGTGAATCTACCGCTAATATTTGATTAAATACAGTGTAACAAGCAAGCTAACACATTATAGTTCCTGAGAAAAAAATGTGTAAGCTGTATTATTTATAAAAAAATGTTTAAATGTATTTGTATAAATTGACGTATATCAGTGTGAACACCTATAATTCAAATACTAGTACTCCTTGTACTAAAGAATTTCATTACGTCATATTAATTCGGTACATGATTGCTATCATTGTTAGTTTTCGTTGCCCCTCCTAACTCCGCCTTTGTGTTATACCCGTGTTTCGCATATTTTCCGCTTGTGGACACGCTGGACACCTTGGGAAAGTGATCCATGGACAACACCATCCCCGTTCATTTTTTTTAATCCTTATGAAAAAAAACTCTGAAATGTCTGTTAACGCAATTTTTTTATATTCAGTTATTAAAACCTTACATGTACGTAACTTCTATAATAATTATTACTTTTGTCTGAATAATGGTGGTTGTATTAATTATTTAATGTCTAAACTATTA